TACTGGTCACTGCTTGCCCTGCGGGCATCTGCTACTGAAATCTGCAACTGGTGATTTGGGGTCTTTTCCTTCTTGGCTCAGCAAGGACATGATGCCTACTCGGGTCACCCAGTCCCAGCTCAACTTTTGCTCATACTATTTAACTCTGACATCTGAAAGTGATTTCCATTTGATGTTTAGCCTGGGTAACCTCCTCAGCAGGCCAAGGCAACAGGGCCAGTTTACCATCATTGCAGTGACTCCCAGTAATCTTACCTTCCAGAAGTACCACCACCTTCCTTCTGTGTTTCTCCATAGAGCAAGTTGGAACTTCTAGGTATTTTGGAAAGCATAGGAAACTAAGTAGGATAGGAGACCTGGTTCAACTTGTCCCCCTCTTAATCATGACATAACAGCAATTTTATTCTGATTCATAGATTGGTGTAGAGAGGGTAGGAGATTACTGTATGAAACGGTGTTCTTTCAGGATATCACATAACAAACAGGGGGAAACTCCTTGTACTTTCAGAATTTTTGTGATTTCCACTGAGGTGGGAAGTTAACATAGAAGGTGAGTCTGGTGTGTTTGTCTCTGATCTCTTCTTTGCATCTCTTTGTCTCCCTTCCCTTCCCCACAATCATCTTGGGCTAACAGAGATATTTTTCCTCCCCACTCTGTGCAGCAATAACTTCCCCTACATCATGGTGTCTCTTTCCAGAAACACATTTACTCTGCTCCTTTCCCTGGGGCCATGATGGCAGAAACGCTACAGAGAAAAGCACATTGACTTTCTGAGAAGGGAATAAAATCTAACCTTCCGTACACACAGCCTTTGATGGGTCAGAGACAACACGCACACACACACACACACACACACACACAGACCACACTCACAGACAAACACATATTTTAACTTCCACTGATCAGGAGAAATTCATTTATTAATTCAACATGTATTTGTTGTGACTCCCATATAGGTACAGGGATGTAGAAAACAGAGAAAGCTCTTCTTTAAATGAATTATATTTTCAATTTCCAGGAAAGAAATAAGGAATAAACAAAACAATCAAACAAATAAATAATCTATCAGGTTATTATAAAATGCTAAGGGAAAAATAAAGTAGGGTAAGAGTACAGAGACTGATGGATTGATGGAAAGGATGCTTTATTGGCTATGATGACCAAGGAAGTCCTCTCTTAAAAGATGACTTTCAAGCCGGGACCAGAATAAACAGAAGGAATAAGCCATGTGGACATCTGGTGAAAGATCACTGGAGGCAGAGGAAATAGCAGGTCAAAGGCCCTGAGGCCAGAGCATGCTGGGCACAGTTCAGCATTACTAAGGAGGCCACTGTAGTGAGAGAGGAAGAGGAAAGGTGGATGAGGTCCGGGAGATGGTGGCAGGAAAAATCATAAGCTTAGATCACAAATTCAGATTTTATTCTTCATGTTTAGAGAAGCTATTGCAAAATTTCTAGCAGAAGAGTGATATGATCTCACTCTGGCTGCTACGTTGGGAATGGACTCTACAGGGCAAGCGTGAAAGCTGGGAGACCAACTCAAAGGCTCCTGCAATAATGCAGGTGAAAGTGACTCAGACCAAAGAACTGACTACAGACGTGAGGAGAAATTGTTGCATTCTGCAGATATTTTGAGGATAAAGCCAGGGGGATTTGGATATAGAGTGTGAAACAAACAAACAAAAAAGAATCAAAATGATTCCAAGGTCTGGGACCTGAGGAACTTGAATAATGTTGAGATGAGGAAGACAATGAGAGAAGTAGTATGGAGCTGGGGATCAGAGTTCGGTTTTGGACACGTTTGGGATACGTATCTCAACCAGAGAGAGATGTTAAATAGGCGACTGGATATGTGAGTCTGAAGTTAATAGTGTAAGTCAAGGATGGAGCTAAAATATGAGAGTCATTGGCATAGAGGAGAGATATGAAGCCATTGTACCGGATGAGATCACCTAGGGTGGAATTTTAGACAGAAGAGAAGATAGAGGTGAGCATTAATCCGTATAACACTCTAATATTTAGAGGTCATGGGTCTGAGAATAATCTAGAAAAAGAAGACAAATCAGTCATTGAGGCAAGAGGAAAATGAGAAGAACATTGAAATAAAGAAAGTGTTTCAAGGAGCAAGGGTAGCTGGTGGGTGGAAGTGGGATGAGGGAGAATTGCCCATTGGCCTTTGCATGTGGGAGCCATCAGTGCTTGGTGAGGTCAGTGTCTGTAGGGCCTTAGTATGATGGTTCAACAGAGAAAGGAGAGGGGGAGAAAAGCTTTGAAAGAAAGTGAATTTTGACATAGACATCTTTCAACCTTGACCCTATGGCCTAGTAAGATTGGTCCCTTCAAAGGACAGAAAAAAATGGAGAAACCACCTCTCCTTCACTCTGAAAAGAACCTGCCCTGAGCAGTCCTAAATGCAAGTTTCTAAAACTCCTACAGCAGCAAGCAGTGAGCTCCGTCCGCACGGCTGAACCCAGATATGCTTCAGGAGTAGAACACATCTTTGTTAAATCAGTGCCTCCATTACATCCTGTTCCCAGCTCCATCCTCCAGCCCCTCCAGCCCCTCCACTGATGCTCCAGAAGCACAGTCCAACTTGAACTGGGCAGCCTGCCGGTGTGTGGGGGGGGATGAGGAGGGGAGGCTGTAGCCAGTTCAGGCGGGTTGGTGGAGAGCGAAGGCTGGGGGGGTTTAAGTGGCATCCTTATAAAGCTTCTATTTATCTAACCCCACGTTCCAAGGAGCTCCGTGGACCTTAACGACATTAGCTCATGCCTTCTCCTCACTATGAAGTAGGGAGTCAGGTTCCTTGGGCTCTGTTCTACGTATGAATAAAATAATGTGCGACACCGAAGACTGTGGCCATCTCAGAGCCAGGGATGATTCAGCGTGACTGGAGCACCCTGGTGCTGAGGGGCTCACCAGGATGAAAGAGCCACATGAGAGTGTGATTTGCGTGAGGGAGGCAGGACAAGAGCGGTTAACCCTGCAATCGAAGGATGAATATGTGACACTGACCTGAGCCCTGCGCACGGGGTCAGGATTAGGTTGTGTGAGGGCTTAGCCCCGCGCTTTACACTGTGACTCCACCCAGGACACTGGTTTAACTGTGATAGAACCACCTGAGGATCCAATGACATAACACAGGTAAAGGGCTTCGAATAGAGCCTAGCACAGAGTAAGCACTCATTGATGAGTGCTTAGAGTAAGCACTCATTGAGTAAGCACTCATTGATGACATGTGAAAAAATAGGTTTATATAATACTACTACTAATAACAATTATTATTTAAGGAGAATAAAAGAATACATAGTATATATATATATATATATATATATATATATATATACACTTACCTTTCTAGCTCATTCTATCGAGAGAGAGAATATTCTACCAGTCTTCTTCTACTTACAGAGATGGTTGTTTGAAGAAGGAGGGGCCTTATCTAGGAACTTGGTGTCACCAAACAGAGAATTGTCATGTAAGTCAGAGTAATTCTAGCTACTTTAAAAAGTTAAACCCCAAATTTCAGTGACTTAATACACTAAATGATTTCTTGATCGCGTAATAGCACCGGGCAGGTGAACAGGCTGGCGAGCAGTCCTCCTCCACATGATTGTTCAAGGACCTAGACTGATGCCAAATGCGACATGTGGCTTTCAAGGTCACTCTGGAGGTCATCTCCATTTCCAGAAGGGGAAAAAAACATGGAGGAGCATGCAGGGTGTATGTGCTACGAGGAGAGGCTTAGCATGGACCAAGTCTAAAAATGAAACGCAACACTTTCACTTCAGGGACTTCCCTGGTGGCGCAGTGGTTAAGAATCCGCCTGCCGATGCAGGGGACATGGGTTCAATCCCTGATCCGGAAGATCCCACATGCCGCGGAGCAACTAAGCCTGTGCGCCACAACTACTGAGCCTGTGCTCTGGAGCCCACGAGCCACAACTACTGAAGCCCGTGTGCCACAGCTACTGAACTTACGCTCTAGAGCCCAAGAGCCACAGCTACTGAAGCCTGCACATCTAGAGCCTGTGCTCCGCAACAAGAGAAGCCACTGCAATGAGAAGCCCACACACCACAACAAAGAGCAGCCCCTGCTTGCCACAACTAGAGAAAGCCAGCAATGAGGACCCAACACAGCCAAAAAATGAAAAATTTAAAAAAGATAGAGTTAAAAAAAAAAACATTTTCACTTCATTTCATTGGGTAGAACTCAGCTGGAATACATATCTCAACCGGAGGGAGATGTTAGGTAGGCGGTTGGATATATTAGGATCTAGAGTTCAGAGAATAGGTCCAGACTAAAGCTGCAAGCATGAGAGTGAAGCCCTGACACTGGGAGGTGGGATCCTGGAAAATACAAACACTGGAGGGACAACCACATCCCCCTGTCAAGACTGTGCCACGGAAGCTCTCAGTGAGCAGCCTGGTCTCCTTCAGCTCCACTTCCAAGACTGCTCATTCTGCCTGTACCTGAGCGTGCAGATCAGAGGAAGATGACTTTTCTGATAAGAAAATGCTTGGATATAAAAGACTGAGCCTGATATCAGTTGAAGTTTGAATCAAAGGTAGCTTGCCGAACAAAGTAATAGGGAAGCAGCTCCTTCCACTGGCTAACTAGGAAGGGGGGAAGATGGGGTGCATGGGAGCAGGAAGGAGATGGGGAGAAGGGATGATAACTCAAGGGCAGGGCAGATACAGCCACCTTCTGGAAACAGTGGCCACTGAGAGCTTTCATGTGAGGAGATAGCCCAGGAACTGTAGGATATTAACTCTTCATGATTTCCTGCTCTGGCTTATACAGTGGTCCTTCTCTGTTTTCCCGGGGTAGAGCTAGGCTTTGAGAGACCTCACAATTATACAATTTGGGAGCCCCTCATTTAAAAAAAGAACAAAAAAATACAAAATTTAGTTACAAAGTGAATATTTATCTAGAACAAGATAATGGATCACAACAAATTCTGCATTTTAAAAGCAGCAAATACCACAGACATCATGAAATCCAGACAAATAACACAATATTTTTATTAATTAGCAGCCTGAATCACTTTTATCATTCTTTTTTTTTGACATCTTTTGGCTACATCTGCTTTGATTGCCACTTCTTATAACAAGGGCTTTATAATACAATTTTTCATAGAATTAAAAGATAATTCAATCATTCTTCTAGGAGAGTTGATTAAAATACATTTTTATTGTTGATAATTTTAAAAGGTTTCTTTCAGATTCACAACTTGTTATGGTCAATGTCATGTAAATTTTGAGGATTTTTGTGAAATTTAGGAAAACTTCTACCAAGTTTGTTATATGCACAGTTACAGATGTACTTACCCTCTGAGGACTGCTACGTGCTTTTGCTCTGCAAACACAACAATTATAGTCTATTCTGCACAATTCCCACCAAGAAAGAAAAAATTATGGTGCATTTCTAACTGTATACGCTGAAGAAATGGAATATACTCCTGACAGATTACTTATCAGTCTTTAGGGAAAACTGAACCCTCCCCTTCCAATAATAAACATAGATCTTTGGGAGACTGTATGCAGACTAGCTTCTGGCCTCATTCTCTTTGCTATTTCTCCTTTATCACCCACATCCTTGCAGTGTCACGTGCTGTAGGATAAATGCGTTTCACTATACAACCTCTGACTCCGTCCCCCACCCATTGAGCAGTTGGAGGACTTTGGGTACCAGTCCCCTACTGGAACCTCCAGCAACATCACTGAACTAAACTCCAAAGTCCCTGTGAACCACAGACACGAAATTCCTCTAAACCAAACTAAACTCCCCACCTTAGTTGAATCCACAAATGCTCACAGGTACTTCAATAACTTTGAAGGGAAGTGTGATTAAGGGGAAAGGATTATCGGTCTTAATCAATTGTTACTAAGATAGCTTGTATTTTAATATATTAAATAATTCAAAATTATTAATTTTATTTAATTAAAAATATGACTATGTGAGCACATTGCCAGTGCCTTAAAAGAGGCCAATGTAAGTAAGGGTCCCTTTGCTTCCTTAGCTTCATGGTAAATCCCCTCTCGTTCTCCCCACCCCCTCAAGCAACTGGTGTTCAGCACACAACTTTATGTTAGCGCTTCGTCATTGTGTTCGTTTCCTAGGGCTGCTATAACAAATTACCTTAACCTGGGTGGCTTGAAATGACAGACGTTTATCTTCTCATAGTTCTGGAGGCTAGAAGTCTTTAACCAGGGTGCCAGCCGGGCCACGCTCCATCGGATACCCTAGGGGAGAACCCTTTCTCGCCTCTTCCAGCTTCTGACGCCTCCTAGCAATCACTGGCGGTCCTTGTCTTGTTGGCGTATCACACCAAACTCTCCCTCTGTCTTCACCTCTCCTTCTTCTCTGTCCTTTTCTGTCTCTTATAAGGGCACTCTCATTGGATATAAGGCCCACCCTAAGCCAGGATGATTTGACCCTCACCTTAATTGCATCTGCAAAGACCCATTTTCTGTCAATGTACATTAGGATATTAGTTACATTAATGTAAGCCAATATATTAGCTTATACTGATAAATACGTGATCTCTATCTATATTGTTATAGATATCTTTGAAGATAAAAAGGAAGGAAAAATGTCCAATGAAGAAATAATGGCTGATTTAACTTTTGAGAACTCAGTAATTCCTAATAGTGATTTCATAAAGGTTAACAATTACAGTTTATGAAGAAAACACTTAGCTGATGCTCTGATTGTAAGAGGGTCTTTCATGGTGGCTGATGGGGACTTCGCAGGTCAGTCCAACACCAACATCACCCTTCCTTGGAACAAACGACTACGAGGCTGGATGCTGCCGCTGGAGTGGGTCAGAGTTATTCTGAGATCGAAGTTCAGGGCTTCAATGTCTCAAATCCTTCTCTTAGTGTATCAGCAAAATATGTCAGTGTCTGAGGAATGTCCCCTCCCATGGACTCTTCAGTGTCACAGCCCTCTGCCTGGTTGTCACCCCTCAGTAAAGTGCTATCCCTAGTGATCACAGGTTTGCAGGATCAGCCTGGGCAGAACCAGGCTTGGAAGCCTTGTCATCAGTACATTTGGCCTCTCTACTGTGACCTCATTACAGTTTTTCTAGAGCCTTCCTTTCTTTCTTTTTTTTCTGAGCTGCCGTGTCCTTGAGATTTTCCACTTGGGATGAAAGATCTCATCGATGCTTTACTGTTAATTTAGTTTGATGCCTCCTTTCCCAGGACTGTTTACATGTTTTCTCTGTTTCTAGGAGGAAAGAAGATAAAAAAGGAAAGGAGGTAAAAAAGGAAAATTCCAAATACCTTGTTACCTGTGTACGGGAGATATTTTGCAACCAGGATTTCCCATCATCCTTGGAATCACCTTTCATAGGAAAACAGCCCAGCCCCTTCCATGAAAGAACCCAGCCCTTCTCAACCTGAAATGCTAATGACATTGGCATTTAGCAGACACAGTATAGTGTAGACATTCATATCTCAGACCAGGATTTGGCATTCCTGACACCAGATGGTATTCAAGACATGGGATTTTCCCCCTTGCTCCTTTAGTACTGTTACCTCTTGCAAACAAAAGCTTTTTACATGGTGAGTAATTTGTGAAGCATAAACTGGACTCATAAATAAATATTTATTTTTATGTAAATCTTGGCAAACTGAGGCAGCTACTTTACAGAGGTGGTTAAAATTTAAAAGGCAGCATTGTGAATAGGAGATAATAAAAGGTGGTTATTTACAATGGCCCTATTTACAATAAAATGCTAAATTTATTTTAATAAATAATAATTTTATATTTATGGACAGTCATTTATAGACAAGCAATAAAAACTTCCATTTCTGCTTACTGGATTTTTCAGTACAGCATATAAATCAAATTCTTCACTCAACCCTGCATTCATACTTTGAGCTTGCTGTGTTTTATCTGAGTAGTCAAGTCTGTTGTTTCTTAAATCTGTTTTCTTTATAATAAATGACTGTATTGATTTGGTTTGAGCTCAGCTCCAAATATAGCAGAATAACACTAATGGTCCTAGAAAGAGAGGGAAATGAGAGAGCATTTTATCAGCATGTTTCAGAGTTGCAGGTAAAAACCATGGTGGTTAGCAATTTCTTTGTACAGTAACCACTTACAAAGACTTTAAATAGGAGGCTGTTAATAGCAGAGTCCAAGTCACCATGTTTTCTTCTGACTTTGGTGACTTTTTTCTTTTCTAGCAAGTTTTTTTTTTACTTGATTATGTTTAATAACCTTAACTGATGACAAAGGGAAAGTTTTTCTGTGGGGGAAAATTGTGTGGTTGGAAGTTTTCCAAACTTCTGCCTTATTCTATCATAGAAAAGGGCCTATGCTAGTTTTAACCCCAAAGACAATATTGTCAAAATAGGTTTAATGGGTTAAAAAAAAAATTCACTAAGTTGGACCAGTGAGAAAAGTCAACCTATGTTGAGATATTACGCCCGTCGTTTATTTATTCAGTCAAGAATTATTTATTGAGCACATACTAAGGGCTAGGCTCTGCATTAGGTACTACAGTTAGAGCAAGTTGTCAGGAAGTTGGCCGATCCCTAGGAAAGAGCCGAGGGCAAATGCATGTCCAAAGGCATCCACTGCAATAATGAATGGATGATGTCCAAGAAGATTTGTGTCTGTCGACATAAAGAATGGGTGGGAAAAGTCAAGACACTAAGAAACAAATTCTTTCTCATGCAAAGAGGGTAGAAGCAGTGGACCTTTGATGCACTTGATCAGGACTCTTGTTTTAACAACTTCTGATTATCATCACCCAGTTGGAACTTAAAGGTAGCTCTGACAACTGAGTGAGAATCTTGTGGACACTTAGGGATGAACTTGGGACGCCCGACTCCTGCCTTGTGCTCCCTTCACCATCGAAATGTCATAATCTATAAAATGTTACAACCAAATATGACATGTTACAACTAAATGATGAATTCATTAGCTCAATTTATCTGTTCTCATGGCTGAACAATGACTCTAAACTTTAGATCTATTCTTATCTCCAATACTATAAATTCCAATACTATAAATACATGCTTGATACGGGGACAAAGACAGGGTTTTCTTCTGATATTGCACTACGAATCCAAAGGGTATTAGACTGCGACCCCAAGTGACTCACATCTCGCAGAGGTCATGCCTGTGTGATCCCCTCCCACACTGACTCTTGGCTTAGCCAACGGGATAGTAGCAAACACAATGTCTATAAAAGATGAATATCATACTGAGTGAAGTAAGCCAGACAGAAAAAGATGAATATCTTATGGTATTGCTTTTAGGTGGAATCGAAAAAAAATGATACAAACGAACTTATGTACAAACCAGAAATAGACCCACAGACATAGAAAACAAACTTATGGTTACCAAAGAGGAAAGGTGAGGGGGAGGGATAAATTAGGAATTTGGGATTAACATATACACACTATTATATATAAAATAGATAACCAATAAGGACCTACTGTACCTACTGTATAGCACAGGGAACTATACTCAATATTTTATAATAACTTATAAGGGAAAGGAATCTGAAAAAGAATATATATATGTATGTGTGTGTGTATATATATATATATATATATATATATATATATATATATATCTGAATCACTTTGCTGTACACCTGAAAGTAATACAACATTATAAATCAACAGGTCTATGAAATCAAAGAAAAAAGAGAGAGAGAGATGAATAAGTGCTTGCTCATTAGGGCTCTTGGAATGCTCACTATTGGAATCCAGCTGCCATGTAAAGAAGTCTGACGTAGTCATGTGGAAAGAGAGAGAGAGAGAGAGAGAAATTCCAGTCTTCAAGCCACCCTCACCAACATCCCAGACACATGAGTGGAGCTATCTGGGTTATCCCAACCCCAGATACCATCTGACTGCAACCATGTGAGAGATCCTGTGTGAGACCAGCAGAAGAACCACTAAGCTGAGCCCCAGCCATCCACAGAGTCCTAAGGAAGATTGTTATTTGAAGCTACCATGTTTTGGGGTAGTCTGTTACACAGTAAGAGATACCTGAAACAGCAAGGGACTTTGAATAAATGCAAAAAAAGAAGAAGAAAAGAAGAGAAATAAGAGGAGGAAAAAACAAAATTTACTTCTATACATCTGAAAGTTTACACCAAATAAACGAGTTGACAAGACTTGCTAAGAGCTTTTCAGATCTTAATCATTTCCTCAGTTTATATATAACTTTTAAAACTAATTATATTGTCACTGTCTAGTGACAAATTCCAAAATCAGCCTCCCAGTGGAAAATTCACCCATGCAGATGACCAATTGTGAAAATCTGTGTGCAACTTTGTGAAAGAGCATCAAATTTAGAACCAATGACAAGGCCTTCGGAAGTAATGATTCCACCTCAAGGCCCACATTAGCTGAAAATCGCTCTGGTAGAGTTATAAGCTGACATCTGCAAAGAATTTACAGCAACCACTGTTACCTAACACCTCCTCTCCAATTAAGAATACTGACCTTGGGCTTCCCTGGTGTCACAGTGGTTAAGAATCCGCCTGCCAATGCAGGGGACACGGGTTCGGGCCCTGGTCCGGGAAGATCCCATATGCCGCACAGCAACTAAGCCCGTGCGCCACAACTACTGAGCCTGTGCTCTAGAGCCCGCGAGCCACAACTACTGAAGCCTGTGTGCCACAACTGCTGAGCCTGCGCTCTAGAGCCCGCAAGCCACAACTACTGGGTCCATGTGCCACAACTACTGAAGCCTGCGTGCCTAGAGCCCGTGGTCCGCAACAAGAGAAGCCACCGCAATGAGAAGCACACGCACCGCAACGAAGAGTAGCCCCCGCTCGCCGCAACTAGAGAAAGCCTGTGTGCAGCAACAAAGACCCAACGCAGCCAAAAATAAATAAATTAAAAAAAAAGAATACTGACCTTTTCAAAGTTTTAAGGCATGGTAGTTTTAAATTTGTTTCTCTTCCGTTATTTTAAAATCAATCTTTACATTGTCCTTGGACATTCAACCCTAAATCACATAGTACAGTCTCAATTTAATCACACTGAAATGAATCCAGTAGTCAAGGAATGTTTGTCAGAAATGGCTTACAAAGAAAGGCCTGGGGGTAACATGCTGAAGGCAGAAAAAGCAAGTATCGAACAGTTGTGGTCCTCTTTGTCTGGCAGTAATTCCTCCGCAGTTTTCTCTTCGTAACAGAGAACTGAGAACGCTTCATCTTTGTATTTCTCAGGGGATTCTTGGAGTTTGAAGAGGCCAAGTTTTCCTACCTGCAGCTGAAGATTAAGGATTTCGAGACTTCTGGAGAGGTTGCTTCTCCTGGGTTACCGAAAGAGAGGACAAGAACTACTGACTGCTCTGAATGGGAAAAAACAGGCACAGTTTGGGGTCATCCTGCTTTGTGGACGGCAGCTGCCCACCATGACATGGTGGCATATTAATGGTTAGTAAACCTCTGGTGCTTGGGAAGAATTTGAAAGGAAAGGAGTGTGAATTGGGAATTCTTAGGTCTAGCTGGGGAAAGATATTTAGAAAAATACTAATTCATTAGAAGAACTGCTTTCGAATAAAATCTAAGTTAACCAAGCTCTTCAGGGAATGTCCGTTTTGAAAATTTAACTTTCTCATTAACTATTAGTTTTATAAGTTGTATTAGTTTCCTATTGCTGCTAACAAATTACCACAAACTTAGTGGCTTGATTAAAACAGCAAAATTTATTATCTTACTGCCCCGAAGTCAGAGTCAGAAATGAGTCTTACAGGCTAACATCAAACAGGTAGGACTGGTTTCTTCTGGAGACTCCAAGAGAGAATCTGTCCTGTGCTTCTTCAAGTTTCCAGAGGCTCTCAGTAGACCTTGGTTTGTGGCCACATCACTCCCACTCTGCATCTATCATTATATCACTTCTGTCACCTGACTCTGGAGCCCGAGCCCTACTCACCCATACTTCAAATTGCAGTGGCTAACACCCTGCCGTGGCCCATGCCCAGCTCTCCCACAGTGAGTGAGGATGGTCCCCCGGAGGGAGAAGAGGAGACGGGGTTCATGTTCAGATAGATAGAGTACTCATTTCCCCTGCTTGGTGTACCTTGACATACCTGTATTCAGAAAACTCGTCACTTCCTTATCGAATCCAAATATCGATTTATTGGGCATCTTTTGTACCGCATGCTTTAACCTCAAGAGCTTCCTAAGGCCTCTTTCGAGAATGGGAGAGGGTGTGAATGCCTGTTAAAGAATCCTGTCTTACCCTCCT